CTGTCTTTGGTTCACTGCCGTTTTAAGGAGAACATACTCAGCAATGGTGTTGACTTGTGAATTTGCGCATGGTTTGTCTTAAAGGTGCAATGTGTAATATTTCTGAGGATCTATTGACAGAAATGCAATATAAGATCTATAACTATGTGTTCAGTGGTGTATAAAGACCTTACTCAATGAACCGTAATGTTTTTATTACCTTAGAATGAGACATTTATATCTACATAACCGCGGGCACCCCCTTCTATAAAGGTCGACATATTGTGACGTCATGTTTCTACCGTAGCCGACAGCGAACAAACAGCGCTACAGAGCGCGTTTCGTTCATACCTTGAAAGAGAAGCCGCAGAAAGCTAGAAGCTAGCCATAGACACCGTGAGTAGTGACTTTTCCCTTGTCAGTGGTGTAAAATATGTAGTTGGATAGTTTGATGTAACTTAGTTCTTCTCCCTCGCTGTGTTATGGCTTTGACAATCAGCTGATTAGTACTATTAACCGTAAAACAGTAACGTTACAGGAGTCACCAACCGGTCGATCGCGGTCGACAAGTCGGCAAGTCGTTCTGGAAGCATTTTAAATCGATCACGAAGAGTTTTCAAAACCAGAGAAAAAAAAACAATATTTGTATTCATTATTATTTATTAATTTGTGTGTAGTAAATGGTGTCTAGGGGATGCGGAGGCGCGCGTGGTGTTACAATTACGTCATTTTTGCCGCGCGCCCCTTTGCGCTCATGCGGACCGATGCGGACGCGTCGAGTATAAACAATGCTTTACGCTTTAACCAGCTCGGCCACAGTAACAGCTCATATTAGCCAGCTAAACTTTTACTACCCTGTTAGAAAAAATTTGTAGTTGGATAGTTTCATGTGGTTCTTCTCCCTCGCTGTATTATGGGTTTGCTATGTGGGGAGAAATGTGCTGGTTACGTTCGTGAGACAATCAGCTGATTACTATTATTATATTATATATTAACCCTTTCACACGTACGATCACACCGGTGTGATCAGTCTTGGCTGGTCCCTGGAGCGTACGATCACACCGGTGTGATTAGAACGGTCAGTGCATCACGTGATCAACAGCCAAATTCAAACGTGCTTTCGCGCGTTGGCTGGTGCTGAGCCAGAGACGGACGCACTCAGTGCTGTCATATATCACAACTATTGAGTGTTTTCAACCACATAATGTTTATTTTAGGTTTCAGAGATTTAAATACACATAAGTACTAGCAAAACAATGATTTTGAGTTTGTAAAATACACACTGATGTCTATGGAAGCGGCAATAATAATCCTTTCCATTATAATAAGACACACATTTTATTCATATCAGATACACATTGTGTAAGTAGCTTTACATTTGACCCTATTCTTCTCCCAGTTCACCGGCCACTTACTTTCATGTATTTCGCGAGAAGTGGAGGAATTGACGTGTTGTAAATCCAACAGATCCGATTCTCTGAACTGTAAAACAAACTAAAATGGCGCCGCCCATTGTGCATACAGCTCAACTAACGCGATCTTTATAAAGATGTTTAAACAACAAAACCCATCCACTTGCACATATTTGACAATCGGAATATCAGTGTTTCATGCTTTAGCTAATACATTTGTGAATATTTTTAATAAAAAAGGAAAAATGACATAAAAGCAGATCATCATTCATTCAGCACTGTGTTGTGGTTGCGCTGTGTCACGTGACAAGCAATGACGCGTCTCCATGGAAACATTAAAGTGACAAGTTCTAAATAACGGTCGCCTTGAAAAACTCACGCTGGGGGGTCAGTTAGAATATGTGTGAAAGTGTTAAGACCCTTGATCCTCACCTGACTACGGCTTTGTAAACTTTATCCATGATGTGGTTTATAATGGACTGTGGTACAGAAACTTGGCTTACTCTGGCTATTCTCTGCTGTCTCAGACGACGATATGTTTGTCCCGTTTTAGCAACCGTTGCTTCTTCGAAAGGGAGGGGTGAGCAGTGGGCTGAGCCATTAGTGCAACCGAACCGCTAGATGCCGCTAAAATCTACACACTGCACCTTTAAAGCATATTAAAACCACCACATAGACATATAAACAACACCACAGGGGGATTTTAAAAATCATGTTACAGTGCAAAACAAAAAACAGTGCAATTCCTGGTGAAGAACTACTGTATACATCCTACAGACCCATCCACTAATCCTAGAATCATCATGCCAAATGAGCTCTACAGTGACCGCGTCACCGCCCATGTAGATGCACTGTGAATAACTATATATTACTTCTAATAAAAGTTTGTAATATTGTTATTCACCTCTGAGATGGTTGGTTTGGTCCATGGCTTATAAATGTGAAAAATAGCGTATTTATGGAACCAAGGCCACTATTGCACTCTACACAAAATGTTCTTGAGCATGTTTTTTATCAAAATGTTCTTGACCATGTTCTCTCCAATACAGAATGTCCTTGAGCATGTTCTGTTATGCAATATGTTCTAAGAACATTACTTGCAGTGGATTCTTAAGCATGTTTGTTGTGAATTTTATTTAACAAAGTTCAGAAGCAACATGTTCCCAACCAATCAGCACAAGAGGAATAAGCCTATATTGCCATCCCTATACTCGGCACGTGGTCCCGCATTAACTTTCGTAATAGATTGATACTTCGTGTCTTGAGTGAGTCTTCATTTCATGTGAGTGTACATATCATTTTAGTTGTATTTCTCAATGGTGCTTTTGATTTTTTTACGTGAAACTTTTTTTTCTATGTGTAAAACAATTGAGTGCATCTTTAATAGTCATATCAACGGACCTTTCAATCCAGTGAGAAGCATTTGTGAAACAAACCGAAGAGATTATTGTTATCATTACTGAAGTAGTGACGTTTAGACTTCATTTTCACAACCACATCATAAACATGACCGATAGACACAACAAATAATCCCATTCAGACAAAACCGTGCCACTTCAGTCGCTTTGTTCTACAAACAGTTAAAAAGGAGGAGCGACCATGTAAGATTGTTTAGAGAACCGTTATTCTCAATTTGATATACAGAGTCCTCGCGAAAGCAGCAGCGCATCTCGCGCGGAGTACCAATGTGGGTGTTTATGACGCGCGCGCGTCAATTACAGGTGTCCATTAACCAACGCGCGCATCACGACCAAGGACTGACGCGGAACACGAAACGCTTTCTGTTAATCCAGGTAAACATTAGTGAAGACCCTAAAAACACACGCATGTAACGACAAGTCTGCTAACATTACTGTGCCAGTGACAACTACCGGAACTTTATATGGTTTGAGTCACGTCCCGACCATTGAAACGGTGTCACGCGTCTGAAACATTGTGACTGGAAGACGCGTATCATGTAAGTACGAGCTTAAAGCAGCATATTTGTTTCTATTTGAAAATTACGAGCACACATAGGTGGTTAAAGGTAGTATAAAACATTTTAGTATACGCCTAATAAAAGCTGTCTAGTGATACAGGCGTTAAGTGAAGATTTTCAAGTCCTTGAATGTTGTAGTTTACTCTTTGTAATATAAAATGTGGTGTTCATCTGTCATTACCAATTGCCCATATTTCTCCACAAATATCACCCACCTGAGAGGCTGCATATCATCACTGCTATATTAAACGATCGTTTATTTATGGATTTATTCATTTATTGTGATGATTGGACATGGACCAAAAACTGAAAACTGTGTTGTAATTAAAGAAAAACAACACAGCCCTTATTTTATTTGTAAAAATGTTTCTTAGTTATGTGATAACAGATTTGTATTGTTTATTTTTATGAAACGTTTGCAATAATATGCTTTATATCAATGACAATTTGTTAATAGGGGGCATCATTGAGGTTAGGCAAAGTCATATTTCTTCCTCAGTTAAGTAAGAGGTGATGACAGCTTCCTTCTCATTCATAATATGAGCCAGTGTTTTTCTCTGGCTAAACTGAATGACTATCAATGTATGTTAAACAATTCCTATAAACTGAATGACTATAAATGTATGTTAAACAAAACCGAATGTAACCACTTGATCAGAATTGGGGGAACCATTATTTATTGACCAATATTCCCATGTAATTGCCCCCAGTGTAAAGCAGCTCTGGTAGTTCCTCAGGTAATCTATAGGTCATGTCCTCCAAAAGATGACATAGCTGAATTCGTTTTTAAGGCCGTGTGAGTAAGCAATCGGAAATGGATGACCACATTCAGATGGGAACATCAGATGCCATCAGTGATAATGACACAGGACAAAGAATTATTCTGCTTTCTCAAGGTCAGCAAGATCTCGGATAGAGATGTGAATGTGTGTAGGAAATAAAGCTTTTACTAGATCATCTCAGAACTTGTTACATAAGTTGTCTTAATCTTAGTGATAAAATGGCATATTTATTTGTCGGCAGTCGAGAGCTGTCATTAACAGCTGAAGAGGTGCCATGTTGAAAGCTATCATTAATGTTCAAAATACATTAGTGAATGAAAACTTACTCTGTTGACAATATTTCTTTACAATCTTTCTGGAAAATGTGTACTACCACTCTCTCGATGTATGAAATTGATACTTACCCCCTAAAGTCATTCTGTGAGTTGTGCTTGAACAGCTGAGGTTAATTAGGAAATGGGCCATTGTGGGTGAAATATTAAGGGTCTGTGTTTTGAAAATATGACAAGTTCATAACTTATGACGGTTGCCCCCTTCTATGTTCTATCCCTTTGTTGAGCAGCGTGACTGCTGGTGTCCTCTGGAGATCTAAAGAGCCCTGATCTGCTCAGCGGAGGATCACAACACAGGAGGAGACCCAGGCACTGTGAGACGTTAGCATTCCCTCATTGCACCAGCTGTCAGGAAAAGAGCATCTGCAGATATTCATTTCTTCTTGTGAAAGGGCCCCTGGAGGACCTTCGGAACGTGCCCCTTCAGTTTTGCAATATATCGGACATCTTGCGTTTTCGTGGAATGTGCTTCAAGTGAAATCAGGTCACTTTCTTTGACCTCCGGTCAGTGGGAAACCTTTCCGTTGGTTAACTTTGAAAAAATGAGCTCAGCGAACACTTGGATAGACTCCTGATGGTTTTAAACAACAGGATTCATAGAAATATGGTAGCTATGGTCTGTTCGTGTGCTTTGAGACTTGGTGCGTGAACTCTACGACTCAACCAATAGGTCTCCTTAAGACTTTAAATCTTCCCACTGGATCCTGGAGGGCACAAACTTTATCAAGGTGATCATCATGGTGATGTCGCAGGGGACCTATACGTTTTTGGCATGCTTTGCCGGCTTCTGGCTGATCTGGGCTCTCATTGTCATGCTTTGCTGCTTTTGCAGCTTCGCTCAGCGCAAGCTGAAGCGGCGGCGTGAAGAGAGACTGAGGGAACAGTGCCTGCGGGCGCTGGAGATGGAGCCTCTGGACTGCACCGGAGGAGGATACCCTCCTAGAGAACCCCCTCAGTTCTGCCCTCCACTTCAAATGTTGTCTCCACAGCTGCCTGTTACACACACTCTCCCTCAAGCAAACTGGACTGTCTCTGAAGGTAGGACGTTCAAACAAGCTCAATCTTCCAATGCAGTTTTGTCTGCAATCTGGGATATGGGGACTATTTTGATTGAGGAGGCATGTAGAAGCTTCTACAATCATCCACCCACATTTTCGGAAGAAAATCGTTTCTTTACAAAGAGCCATTACTTAAATTTTTTTTTACTTTTAGACCAAGTCTTTTAACAACTCTTAGCAGAATATAAGCAAAATGAAACTCAAAAAAGGACTAGACCTTTGAAATGACAAAATGTTTGGAAATGTCCTTCTATTAGCTATCTGGTTAGTTGCAAATACCACTTCATATAATTGAATGTGACCTTGGTCAATTTTCCAATCGTTCTTTCACCCTTTCCTTCTAATGTTTAATATCTCTTAGTTATTAATCTATGAGAATATATTTTGTAATTTTATTGACTTTAACAAGTTTCAAGGTTGACTTAGCCGTTAAGACTTGGAGGTTACAGGTATGTTAAACACCTTTCACCTGTCTGACTTTTACCCCTCCTAGAGGTTCTAAACTACATCCACTAAACTCAGTGCAGTCCTTTAGTCTGACTTAGTGCTCTGTCTCTTACTAATCAGACATTTCCTTTAAAATTCCTATAGACTTCCACTTCAACACTAATGCTATATAAGCTAGACTTTGAAGCATTTAAAGTACACAATGCGTTCACAACTTTCAAATCAAACAGCTTTTTTAACTTCCCTGCGGAAAAACACGGCATTGCTGGTCACCTGCATAAGGTATGTTTTGCATGCTGAAACCAGCATTGGAAGCCGGAGTGCTGGTGGTTACACCAGCTCCGTTCTCCTTGAGAACAGCATGATTATACTGGTCCACCTGCTAGACCAGCACTATATCAGCATAAACCAGCCTGAACAGACATGAAATGATGAAAAATATTTTTCAGCAGGGTTGTCAAGACAGTGTCAGTAATTGTCTTGATGATCTTACCGTTTCCCAATTAGAATTATCATCTTTCAAATAGCAATCTGGATAATCCAATAACCAAGCAGAGGACGCTACTCCTTTATTACCTTTTATTAATACATTAAGCATGTTGTGCTTTAACAATGTTTACCAGTCAACAAAGATCGTCCATCTCCCAAGGGCTGTACAACTGAAAACCTTGACTCCTCACACAGTGTTGGCAGCCCGAGCTGCATTCTTTCATGTATGACATGGTAACAGTGAGTCTTGTGTGGGTGTTGTGTAGGCAGACGAGTACAGCACTGAGCTAACAGCAGCTAGAGCCGGGCTAATCATGTGCTTTGGCTGCCAAATATGGTGGATCCCCAGCCATGGGCAAAGAATGTCCCTTTAAACCTGTGCCAAACACACAGGATGGATGACCACACATTGAAACAGGGTCTGAGTAATAAGTCAGCTCATAAAAGAGTAAGAGTCGGAAAGAATTCTGCTCTTTAAAGGGACTTTGTATCACTTTACAACAACAGACTCATCATGTCCCCTGTGACGCATTGAGCACCAAATGAGAAAATGGTCTTTTTTACAAATTTTTTGTAAAGATTTGAATTAAGTAACCTTTCCCCAAAGATTGTATTTAATGAGAAGTATAAGTTTCAAGATAGAGTCACCATCAAATGACTTCTCTGCCGTAACACTGTCCTTGAATAGCTTCACCAGCAGGGACAGTGTTAAGAGGGGTGGGGGTGTATAACCATTGATATGTGCTGAAACTATATGGTGTCTGGAACTGACCTACCATATGAACTATTTAATGGTGCTTGCTAAGACAAACACAACTATTTCTTTAGCAAATACATAGACATGAATGTTATTTTAAATCATTCAGCTAGCCTGGACTGGCCAAATCTACTTGGGACCCTACATAGGACAAGCTGTTTGAAGAATGGATAGATGGATGGCCATATCTAGGTATCAGAATTTGATTGAGACCTAAGGCTGGAATACAATACACAACTATTAAAATTTTATAATTTTTAATGAAATCTTGAGAGCTTTCTGTCCCTCCATTGACAGCTACGCAACTACCACTTTCAAGCCCCAGAAAGGTAGTAAAGACATCATAAAAGTAATCCATGTGACCCAAGTGGTTTAACCTCAATTTTATGAATTCTTTCTGCGCAAAAAAAACAAACATAATTTACCACTTTATTTGGAAAATATTAATCTCCAACGTGCGTTCACGAGAGCACCACAATGCATTATGTTTTATTAACAAAGTTCAAGAGGAGCACGTTCAGATAGTTAACATAATTAACACGAGTGGACAGCAGTTCAGTTAATCAATCCAATCAACAATAAGAGGTATATATACAGCAGACTTACCTCTGTTCGTTGACAGTTTATCAGCATCCCTCCACCACCCCTTCTCCACACTTTTAGTTTTAACTATTCCTACCACGGAGTACTCTGGGTTCAGGCCAAATTCTGAGCTTGGAGCCCTCCCCCGGACAGCACGCCAAATATGCACCTTTACTCTATCTAATTATATGTAAGTGTGAGAGTGGACGTTGTTACATGAACGTGGGTTGGGGATTCATATTTTGTAAATAAAGTGGTAAATTGTGTTTTTTTGCACAAACAAAGCACTCCCGTCGCTTCAAAAAATTGAGGTTAAACCACTGGAGTAACATGGATTACTTTGTCTTCACTAAGATGTCTTTACTACCTTTCTGGGGCTTGCAAGTGGTAGTTGCGTAGCTGTCAATGGAGGGACAGAAAGCTCTCAGACTTCATTATTTTCATTTGAGTTCTAAAGATGAATGAATGTCTTACGGGTTTGGAACGACATGAGCGAGAGTAATTAATAAAGAAGTGTGAAGTCTGCAAACTGAAAATCACCTTAATTAGGCACACACACACAAAAATATTTGTTTTTCTTCATTTGTTTATATCACTTAGTTGTCCTGCACCTGAGCCCAATTTGGGTGTTTGGGATGTGCACACCATTTTTGTATTTCGTGAGTAATTAATGACATCATTTTTGGGTGAACTGACCCTTTAAAATATCAAATATGTTTGATCTCCTCCGACTGGACGGATTCATAGTCTGAAGCAAATAAAAAAATCACAGTCCGTGTCCATCATACTATGTGATATTCTGCAAAATCTTTTAACTTTAACATACAAAAATATGCCGACTGGCTCTGACTTGTGTCTAAACTGCAAATAGGGGCAAAAATCATGTCATGTATTCCAGCTTTTAGACTTTTTCGACATGTACAGTCAGCCACCCAGAACACACCACTCATTGGATAGGCAAGCACCACCATTTTCTCGTCTTGAGAAAATGAAAAAAATTGGTTTTCTCACCAATTTGTGTTAAAAGTGCAGTTTAAGAAGCACTGCCTCCATTTGCTGCAATCCTATATCAGAACACATGATAATTAAGAAGTGCAGCCTCTTAGCACTGCTAGCCTCTATGACTTTTTCCAGTTAGCTTTCATCTTCCATTCTAGTAAAAGCACAAATGATAGGGGGAAAACACTGCCTAGTCACAGGCAAACAGTCTTATCTCTGACCTCAATATGCTGGCTATCACTTCTTTTCACAAAAGAAAATATATCCTAGCTTTCATCTTAGAGTGAGAGGTGACGTTGGAGGAAATGATAAAAGCTTCAGTTCTTCTACCCTCCCCTGATAAAATATACCAAGCCCTCATTAATGTTGTCCAATGTCCTCTGATAACTTAGTGCAGAGGGTTTTTTTTATCTGATAAATTGTGTGATTACGGTATGTATGTTTAATGATGTCTGGGCTGACTTGGAAAAAGAAAGGCCCACAATATCTTGGGGTCATGAGGCAACAGTGATTATAAGCAACTAAAAACTTGCATGTTTGGTGCAGCATGCAGTATTCTTTCTGTTCCTTGCTGAAACGTTTGGTTTTTCTCAGCAGACACAGATGTCTTTGGAAAACCTCCATGCTATGAAGAGGCCGTATTGATGGAGGACCCACCGCCCCCTTACAGTGAAGTTCTGTCGGACCCCAGGGGAGGAACTTACACCAAACCTACAACCAGGTTCTCCAGGGAGCACCAAGAGTCTGAGACCAGCAAGATGGCCCCCGTGACCGTTTTTCCCGAACGTGGCTACTCGTCCCTCATACGCCTACCTTCGGCCAGACGCTGGGACTCGCTGGGGCACCTCCTGTCCACCATGGACCACAACCACAACAACATGCCAGTCGAGCCCCAGGCCTCTGCCATCGCCACCATGCCTCGCGAGGGCCGGACTCACACAGACTTGGGCTTGAGGGGACTCCGCAGTCTGGATCAACACTATGGTTTGCCCACCGCCTTTCCCCTTTTGGGTCGAAGCACAGCGGTATGAGCCCACAAAAATAGACCTCACAATGCTGAGTCATATGTGGTCTGAAGAGTCTGCCAGAGGCGTTTCGAATGTTGTCTTTTGGGGGCAGAATCGGTTCAATCAGCTTTGTTCAGGGGTTCATTTGCAGATCCATCACACTCACGTCTCTCTCTCGTCCTCTTTGCTCTCCGTGGCATCTTCGGTTGATGCAGAGCAGCAGCTATTATGTGAACGCTGTTGCCATGGCTCCCAGGAGCTGTCTGCAGCCCACCAACACCTCGCCCCTCACGTCCTCTCTCATCTGCGGCTCACTGATATAATACAAATGACATTTCAAACCCTGTCTTTGTGAAACAGGGTAAAACACAGAAGTGCGACATATAGCGCAATGACAGCGGTTGCTCCGTATTGTAGCAACACAATGCTGCTCAGCTGTACAAAATGTTGTTTCATAAACTGGAAAACAATACCTGGCATCTCTTTCTGGATTCTGTGCCAGTTCCTTTCTCGGGAAGGAGTCTGAACTTTGGGGGTGGAAAAGCTTCAAAGTAATCTCAAATTGTTCCTCCAAAGGAAGTTGTTGCTGAGGAGTTCCGATTTTTTGAAAGATGTCTGTAGTTTCCATTGGAGAAAGTTGTCTCTCACAGCTTTTAATACATTACCATGCGGGTACACTGAGAAACTGCCTTTAATTTCATGTCAGCAGTACTATTCTCTTTTTTTTACAGATTCTGAATCTCTGTATGAATAATGATTTAAAAAATATATATATATATTAAATCCATCCTTCTGAAGTGCTCCTCAGATTGATGATATCACCTTGTTTGTAATGACCTGTGAATGGGATTTGTCAACATTTTCAAGCATCACCATGTTGCCCACGGTACTTCCTGCTGTTGTTGCAGCCACATGTGGGATTTACGGCATTTATTTAACAAACCGCATTCATTTAATGGTGCTTCTCCGAGTAAGACCAACTGAATCCCTTTTGCTAGGCTGTTTGTATTCTTTCGTAATCAATGTGGTGATTGCTGCATTGTGAAAATGCTTTATTTCAATTTTTTCCCTTTTATTGCCATCATTTCTCTTATGTATGTTTCCGTGCCCTTAAACGATTCTACCTCAAATCCATTTAATGGCTGTCTTTGTCAGTTTCCCAGCGTATAACACTGCTTTCATGCATGTGCTGGATGCTTTCAAATGACATTTGATTTAAATAAGCTCTATTTTGGAAATGTGAAAAAGCAATTAGCAGTGTAAGTGGGCACACAATGCTTTTACTACATCATAGTGATGTCTTTGCTTGCTTTTTGTTTTTTAATTGCGCAGCCGGTACTAGAGCGCCCGAAAATAACAAAAGCATAAAGGAAACGCACTTCCCACAACCCACATTATAAAGACTTGGTATATGAGGCATTGTTCCCTCATAACCTGTGCAGAAATTAAATAAAGAATATAATATTTATTACTTTTTATCCCTACAACGATGCCCATGTTAAATGTTGGAAATCAAGCGCTGCTTCTTGGTATATAAATGACAGAATGAAGGTGGGATCACAAATGGATTCTTTTGAAAAGGTTGAGGAGGAAAAAGTACACCATACTCTCTTTTTTAAATAAAAATAAGAATTTCCTGGGAAAAACGACAACTAGAACTAACCTTAAATGGCCAAATATTGATCAATTTAGGGGAAATATCTAGCCTGGGAAAACCCAGACAACTTCCGGCAAATTTAGATTTGCTCTGAAAGTTAGTCTGGCAAAGAGCTCATTCAAGCCCATTTCCAATCCGTCGAAATCGAGGCACCAATCAGAAACGTTGGGGCGGCCTTTACACGATGAAGACAGCGCTGGGATTTTGAAGCAGATTCTGTAGCCTACATTACAAAGACGGATGCCGCCGTCGAACATCACTCGTTCGAATCAGCTATCGCGTCTGTTTTAGGCGATTTGAACGTTTCCTTTTTGTTAAAAACCGATCAAAGAACAACACTCTGAGATTTTTCTCCGCCGCTCTGCATACGTCATCTCCTTCGTCGCTCTGATTGGTTTTAGGTCTATCCGCGACGTCCGTTGTTGACGCCCCTCTGGAAATGATTTGTCTATGACGCTTTGCCAGACCAAAACTCAGTTACAACTGAGAATGGTCTGGTTTTAACCAGGCTAGGAAATATCCATATTCTGCACAGAACAAAATACAAAATTGTACAAAGACAATCAATGAAATTTACTGCACCTACAACCCTCTTACAGCAAGTTACGGCATCCAACGTGACTACAGCCCCCACAACTACAGCCTGGATGATTATTCTTTTGGGAGATTATAGTTGTTTTAAAATGACTGTATATTCTATTCCCTCTCTGTTTTATATATTCAGTTACATCACAACCGAAGCTAAAGACAGAGATGTAAACTACCTTCTCTCTGCCAGCGATGTGTTGCTATGCGACCGTAGCAGAGCCGTGTGAATCTGTTTGCATAGATGAAGTGAGCAGTACCGTCACTGCTCTGGTACACAGTCTTCTCACATCCACTATGATAAGTGGACTGTGGACTGCAAATTAGCATACAGTATACGAGACATATTATGTACCAAATGTACCCAGTTTGTGCCATTTTCAATGAAAGCCGTCATCAAGAGGCTCTGGTGCATCAATCAAAAGGGTTTATGTTGAGTAAATCTCTTTTGATCTGACAAGAGTCTCAATTTAGGCCCAATTTTGTTCCTATTTCACACTAGAAATAGGAACACTCCAGATTTTTTACACTCCAGATTTTCTATAGCGCATTTTCTTTCTTGTCACTTGAACTGTGAATGGCAAACTGTGAAAGTGTATCATGCAATGTTCATGTAGCGTGCAAAGTGTACTTGCGGACACTATAATCAGAGCTGTACTAATTCATAGCTGCTATATATTTCAGTGTTCCTTTGTGGATTCTCGGTTAGTTTCTGAAAATATAGACGATACACAAACAGGGCCAGTGAATGTTTAACATATTTGATTAAACCTTAAATTCATGAATGTTTCGCCAATCATTATTACATATTCGGGTCTTAAGCAACCCGGCTCTATATCTAACACGGGTGGATCTCTAACTGCCGCAATAGTGTAGAACTCTACTGATATTAGAGTAACTATTACAGAAGAATAAAATAAAGCATATTTTGTTACCTTTTGCAGCTTGGAAGGGTTCAGTTTGAGCAGATGTTTTATACCATCATCACTGTCCTCATCAGAGCTCTTTTCCTCAGTACATTCAGCATCTGGCTCATATTCACGATCCCAACCATATTCTCAAAGCTATCGTTTTCAACGTCTTCAAAATCAATATTTTGATCGCTCACAGCTTCTTCACCAGATCCACCATCAAGTGACAGTGACACCAAAATTTTATTGCGTTCAGTACTTACTCTGAAGTAAATTGCTGAGCCATTTCAAGAGTTGCTGATGATACTTTCTATTCTTTTGTTTTCTGCCTGCGTAACTATGAGTGAAACGTCACTTCATCATTGTGCATCAGACATTGCCACCTTGTGGAATAAAGGTTTGCAATAAATTGTACTTAATTCAGTCATCAAAGATTCAATTATTGTTGTGCAGAAAAATATATTTACACTGTTACACACCTCGGGTTGTTAGCGACCCTATACAATTTTTTACAAAAAATGGAATGGGAAAACAGGCATTCTTTTATTAAAAAAATGTATTATTATTATTATTATATTGTGTATAATTAATTGATTGAGGAATACTAAGAAGGTTGATGTCTAACTTTAAAAAAAATGAATGATGAGGAGGGTAGTGAATGACGTCCCGGGTCACTAACAACTCAAGGTATGTGTTTAAGGGAGGTACAAAGTCTTAGTTATAGGACACTGTTTAAACATTTCTGTGTCCAGTTGGTTGCAGACAGAAAAACGTGAAAGTACACAAGTTTTCTGAAGGATTTTAAAGTCTTTTATTAACATACATAAGCACATAGCATGTCACAAAAGTTCTTGTGCTTGTTTCAAAAACAGCGTGTGAGAAGCGGACGGGGAAAAAAAGAGGAAGAGATAGAAAAAAATAATTACAAAAAGAACTTTCAGGAGTCGCTAAGCCTTGCTTCAGGGGCAAAGAAGAAATTACTGTAGTAGAACAGCAGTAGTAATAGTAATAATAGTAGTGGTGGTAGTAGTAGTCTCCTAGTAGTTTGAGGGAGAAAGAGAATAATAATCACTACTAAGGAGGTTGGAGGGTGAACAGGAATACACGGAAGTCGTTTCAAAAGGGGCTAAGTTACTGTTAAAGATGCGGGTTACTTCCTATAAGGTTTCATACTGAGAAACCATGTTTTCTCTCTCACCAAAGAAATGCCAGAAACCCAATCCAAACGTACGCCACCCCACGTTTTTCATGAGTGGTGAATCAATACATGTTAGTTATTGTAGTACATTTTACATGAGAACAAAATTAAAGCTATTTACAGAACAATACTATTGGTTTAGTCTTATTGCTCGCCTTTCCACAAAAAAAAAAAAAGAAAAAAAAAAAGTCATTTGTATTGTAAAGTCAAGATGTTGTGGTTTTTCAAAATGACTAAAAGTATGAGGAAGACAGTGGGTGGTGATAACTTGGCAGTTAAGGATGTGGGCTGGAACAACAAAGATTACAGTTTGAGTCAGTGTTGAGTTAGTGAGATAACCTCTCACCATTCTGCCCTTGAGCAAGGCCATGTGTCCCTGCACTAGTCCTTGTGTGAAAGTCAGTTACAAAATCCAAATTTGATTTAAAGGGTTGTAATAATTTTAGGTTAAAAAAATGTCTAGACGTCCATAAGGGTAACATCCCTCTGAACAAAGTCCTGGATAAAGCATTTTTAACAAGCAAAAAAAATAAAAAATACAAGGGTCATATTAATATTATATTTCAATAATGGGGGTTTACCAGGGTTTGAAGTGCGTAATAATTAGGAGTTTCCTTCCCTTGGAGCGTAGAACTAAAAGGTTCAAAATCACATCCACAATAAAATAAGGTCAAGGCCATACTCTACGCAAGTACACAAACACAAATGCTTCGGTTTCATTCGCTAAAATGTGTTAGAAGAATGCAATTCAGCCACAAGGGGCGCTATAGCCAGCATTAGCATAAATCATCCTCTGTAAGACACTGAATCCTGGTAAACACGTTTACTTGGATAATAGCAATCTGAAGGGAATTATTTTGGCTTCTTAAAGGGATAGTTCACCCAAAAATTCTGCATGTCGTAGTTGCATGTATGACTTTCTTTCTTCTGTAAAACAAACACAAAAGATTATATTATTTACGGACACCCTAAAAGGATATGGTGAAGAATTTTTTTTTTAGATTTTTTGGCAATGCTTTTGTGTTCTCTCGCTAATGTTTCCGTTCCCCCGAGAAACTCTGCGTTTTGCGAGCGAACGCAAACATTTTGCAAAGGTTCTGCGAGTGGACAAAAAACCATTGACTTATTATTTTTCCTCCCATATCATATATTTTGTTTTCACCACCATGTCCTCTTAGTGGTTCTTCATATTTTGAAGAATGTTGGTAACCAAACAGCTTGTTCCACTGTTTGGACATAAAACACTGAGATTTCTCAAAATATCTTCTTTTATGCTCCACAGAAGAAAAAGTCACACAGATCTGAAGCGACTCAAGGTCGAGTTTTTGTCTGAACTATCCTTTAGAGTACTGAGGTCTGTTAACGCCACAGTAAGGCCGCATGCTAACATCTGGGACTGCGAGCTTGCATTGGCGTCGACGCTTGCGTAGAATATCTTTCAGGCCTGAACCTCCCCAATAATAAGGGACTCTATTCTCCCTTTATCTTTAAACTAGATGTACACGCATACAGTATATGTACACACACTACCGCATATATAACTAAAACAATTCCCAAAGGAGTTCACTACAATTGTTATTGCCTAAGTTTCTCAACAAATCAAAGCTCTATTGCAGTTGTTCATAAAAAAACAAACGTCAGTTTCAGCCATTGTTTATACACATTGTCTCATATGTAGTCAAAATATACATATGCCACCTGGCGCTAAAGTCCTAAAAGGCCGTTACACCAACACGTCATACTCAAAATAATTGGCACAACACAAAATTGTTTCATAATCACATAGAAACCCCCTTCATTTTCCGTTTGCTAAATACGACCGACTCAACTGAAGCTAAAATCGAGTTCTGACGTGCCTTTGCTTCGACGAGGGGTGAGGGTTCGAGCGTCCCTGACCGATTGAGTCATCAAAGCAAAGACACATGATGTGGGCATAACACTCAAACACATGTGATTCAACTAAGCAACTGTGGGGAAGTTGATTGAAGCGCTGAGCAGACCTAAGCTCGGCGTGGATTAAGGAGATAGAAACTAAAACGGAATCTAATCTGCTACTACACACACCTGTTAGGCACAGGGATCCATACAACACAGGTGAGCGCTAGAGACGCACTGTGCTATACTCTGCATAGCAAAAAAGAAAAAGAAAAAAAAAGAGATCAAAATAAATAATAAACACACTCTCTCACACACACACACGAACCGAAAGCGCTCATACCCACTGGCATCTTTAACAATAACCCGAGTCCTTTTCTTCTGTGGCTAACATTGTTGTTGTTTTTTTTCTCTAAAACATTTTGATGCAAGACTTCAGTAACTGTTGTAAAATCAGTTTTCGTCGAGGCGTCGCCTCGGTTTCCCTCGGTCGCTCCTAATCATCATCTTCCATCACGGGGTCTGTATCCCAGCACGTAATGTCGATTTCTGCAGAAGACAATAAGACAAACACCTTATATTAGGATCTTTTTTTTATGGTGGGATGCACCGTAACGACAGATAATTCAAAATTAGTGTTGCTGTAACACTGTGAACAGCCCCGCACACATGCGAAATACCATTTACATTTCAATATCAATAGAATGTAAATGTGAACTAAAGGTTATTGGCTACTACTTAAAAAAAAAATTCATTATGTCCCACCCAAACCTCCTGTTTCCCATCAAAACAGAAACAAAAATTGCGTTCATTAAACCATTTCATGTGCTTCAATCTGCGGCGATCTCACCTGGTGGTTTGTTATAAAAAACTGGTGTTGGGTTGACTTTTGCAGTGCAGTCTTCTGACTGGGCGAAATCCTCCTCCTGTGATTGGCTGAAGTAGCCTTCGCTCGCCTGCATAAATGCAAACATATGATGGCTATATGTAAACATATAAAGCTCCATGCAAGCATAGTGTCCTGAATATGTGTCTTTGGCATTACGATAATGTGAAATATAGAAAGCATATGCTGCCACCTAGTGGCAAAATAGATATCATGCATAAGTAAATAAAACATATAGGAGATTGATAGGCTGTTTTAACAGACCTGGGTCCCTTCTTTAAGCAGCGAGTCTCCATTGGTCAGCAGCAGCTGTCCGTCATCCATGTCCTGGCTGCCGGAGCCGGACGCGTGCTGGAGGGCCTGCTGGTAACTCAGGGTCATCTGGTGGGGTCCCGACACATCCACCAGGCTGGAGGGCTCGTCTTCGGGGCCGGTGCAGTAGGGGGTGTCAGGCACCTCATCGAAGCTCATGAGCGGCTGCGGGAGAGCAGGGGAGGAGCCGGGGCAACGGGGCTCCGGGGTGTCCTCCATCAGGTCCATGATGTGGGCGGGGGTCTGGGAGGGGGCCGAGGCTGGCGCTGGGCTGCTGTCCCACAGGTCTAGCAGGCTGTCATCTGTGCTGCGGGGCAGGGGGGAAACACTCGGAGAGGTCTTGCTGAAGCCGGATTCCTGCACTGGAGTTTGCTTGGGAGTGTCGAAGGCTTGAGGAGGGAAAAGGACATTTAGGAAACACTCATGAACATATAGAACTACATTACCACTACCGCCTCTGGCTTGCTTAGTTGGGGACACTTAATATATCTGACTGTACTGACGCTGTTGTATGAGAACCGAACTGAGCTGGACGATGACAATGTTTTACTGCTTTGTTTATGAAATTAACTAATTTAATAATTGATGATCTTTACAACGGGACTGAATCAACACTGACTTCAGCAGAACAACAGCCGAAATGCATAATTGTCCTGTTATCACTGTAAAGTTGCTTTGAAACAATCTGCATTAAATAAAGGTGACTTGACTATTATGTTCATGTTAATGAAAGAACTGCAATAACACTTTCTATGAAACCTACAATGCATTACACCAGAGGCCTAAAATTTCAGAAGAGAGGAAAAAAAGTGTAAAACATTTACAGAATTCAAATGTTTACTGTTGCAGTTTGCCTTCTAAAGAAAATGTATTATTTGAATCTACTTTACAGATAATATTGTAATAACGTCTTTTGATTTTTACCACAGTGACAATATGAAATTCTATTTATGACATTTTAATAATGACAAATCTGGTTCAAATTCACCAAAACTCGGTCCTTATATGTAAAAAATTAAATATTTGAGGTATATTTGGGGTTTCTTGGCATCAGAGAGTCGGGTAATCTAAATATTTCATGTGATAAAGTATTTAATATCAATCTGACAATATTGGGTTAAGCCAACAAAAGTCAATTTTAAGGGTCAAATCAGATATTCAGGTAACAACTGCCCATTTGCACCCTTTTACAATATATAAAGGTTTTCATATCCCCACATAATATGTAATTAATTATGCAGTTCTAATATATAATTGCCTATTTACACTTATTTATAGTTATGATACCTAAAAAAAGTAGGTAACACTTTTTTTTACAGTGTCAATGTTACATGCAGTTACTAAATGACTATAAATTATGAACAATGCAACCAAACCAAACCCTATAGTAAGTACATGCAGTTACTTAATATTTACTCAGTACTTAAATGTATAATTACACTGTAACAAAGACACCTTAAAATAAAGTGTAACCAAAAAGTATAATGAATTTAAAACACATTATTTAAGCCAACGCATGACATTTAGTGTCTATCATGTATTTTAATGTATTCTTTGAAAGCTTTATAATTCACTAAAAACAACTTTAGAATACAGCATAAATGCATGCTTGTTATGAAAAGGAAATATATGAAGCCTTTGATATAGAACAACTCTTCATCTTTCTCTCATCTTAAGGAAGCATTCATGGCAAAATCAAAGATATGTTTGGGTCTGTTTTCTTCCTGTTCTGATTATGAGCAGTAAATTGAGCCTCAGTGAAGTGCTTTTCTTAAGCATACTTAGTGCAGTCAGCGTGGACACACAAGAGCTGAGAAAGTCAGTCAGCTGTGGAGGCAAACACAACCTGGACAAACAAAAGAGCCCCAGGCTGCATCACAGGGGCCGGTCTGCATGCGGTAGATCATTCTGTGGGAGCAATAACAGCCTCCCATCTGTCTAACTTATTGAGCTGATGAGATTCAACATTGTATACCCCAAACAGTCTTTGCTGACTTATTAACTAGTTTTCTGGACGACATTCTGGGAGATAATTTTTTTGGGGATCTCAACTTTTATTATTTAAAATTAGCCTGGCATGCCAGACCTACATCAAGATGTTAGGTCTGGGAACTCTCCATTGACATGCCTCAATCCGAGGGGCGGGATAAACGGTTACCTTTCAAAATCCCTCTGCACGCAATAGGATAGCGCTACAACCAACCAGAGCAACGAACGGTTGTAGATGAGTGAGTCCCATGCGTTTTTCCACCAGCGGAGCTAATTGATATATTAAACTTTGCCGTATCAGGTCGGCAAAACTCCGAACACATCTTCCTTTTTTAAGAATGACTTAAGTGACGTTCTCTTAACTCCAGACCTCCAGAGTCGCGGCCAAAGCCGATTCGAAAGACCGCTGCATCTTCATTGTTTTCAAGTAGCAGGGAAATCACCTATGGAAATCACGCGGAA